TATTGGATATGGTAATAACATTTAATTTCTGCTGCTAACAATGTAACAGTGGCGTGTCTGTTATGTACGGCTTGTGAATAATCCAGTTCAAATTATGTTCAAAGATGGAAGCGTTTGTGAATTATATACTACAATGGCTTGCCTTAGACTTGTAGCAGTAATGTGACTCGTATCTGCAGCGGTTCTGATGAGTACTGCTGCAGGATGCAGAATAAACAGGATGGTGGGGACTTTTCATCCGCTTGTAGAGTTTAGTCTTTCTTAATTTTACGATCATCCTGTATTTTTCTGTGTGCCACTTGATAATGAGACTGCTACCTGTTAGCTTTAGCATTAGCCAGTCTGCGTGTAGCTGCACTTTTGATCCCAAACTTTGGACCGGTTCTGCCTTTGTGCCTTTGCTGGTTCCTTTATTTTCCTCCACTGCATCCAGATTTCCACACTGTGCGCCAGCAAAAAGCATTTTTCTTACACGTAACTTACCTTTGTTCAATAAAGTTCTGGGGAAAATAGAAATTCGAAGATGTTGCACCAGTGCTTTGTTTAAAAATAGACAGACACGCACAGACAGTTTTTGTCGTCGCACTGTACAGCTCTGCTATGGAAGAGCCTGGGTGAAATCAGGACGTCAATAGCACCAACCATAGATATGTACCAACTAGTGAGAAAAGCAAGTTTTGATCTTTGTCTGCTGCGGTTTTGCCGCTTTTCAGTGAACCGCTGCTCATACAATGCCCTAGTGGCGCAATGGTGCATCTGCTGTTAAAATAACATCAATATAGCTGGGGGCAGAGTGAAATCAGGCTGGGGCGGCACAAAATTAGCTGGAGGCAGCCACCACACAAATTAGAATGCAGGAAAAACCCTGGCACATTAGTTGGTTAAGCTAGTGGGAGCTTGCGCCATGGGGAAGTGCAAGTTTTATGGTAACTGGAAGGCTAATCCCACGTTCGTGACGTGGTTAACACCGGTTCCAGGCAATAGCTGGAAATTATAGCTTGAATTTAATTTTAAAAATAGCTTAAATTTGGTCAAAGTGGCCTTAAAAAAGGTCTGAAAAAGTCTTAAATTTGGCTCCCTTAAACCTGCACATACCCTGTAATGAAGACGAGTATTAGAATTTGTCTTAAACCCGAAATTGCATTTTTTTTAATTATTATTACCCTCTTCAAAGGGTAGAACCAGAAAAATGCCCTTTTCAGCATGTTGGCATGGCAGCTTGTTAGCAGTCAGAGAGGAGAGTCTGACACATGAGACATATGTGATACCAGGAAGATTTGTTTAATTTCTGCAGCAGCATTGTTGTATCAGCTGTAATAGAAGTTGGTGTTTTGGAATAAATGATTAATAAAGTCTCATTTTGCATTTGCTTTCAGGGCAACCAGCAGTGAGCATGTAGCTAATGTTGGCTGACTAGGAGGTGCTGCTGGTGAACATAAATGTAGTATAGCAATGTTATATTTACTAAATAGAAACAACAAACATGATCAAATGTACTTGTGAAAAGTAATCCCTGAGCTATGCAACTTCAGAGTATTCAGGCTGGTCCCTGTTCATCTCAGTAAAGTGTAGCTGACATTCTGGAGCTTGAGTCTGCTTCCATCGCATGTTGCCTACATGTCTTCAATGTTGAACACAGTTCATTTGTTTGATATAGTGAAACTGCTCCTGTACAAACTAATGAAGGCTGAGGACACATTTTAGCAGTTAGATGAAGTTGTTAAAAAGACAAATGCACAGCAAGAAGTTAAGTAGCATTTCTGCTTGTTAAACAGTCAATTACTTACAAACTTTAGGGGGTGTTAAAAGCAAGCAGGAATTGTATTGTTTCCCTTTAAGGTACAAAACTGGTTATTTTGTATGTTTACAACTTTACTTAAAGAGCAAGTCAACCCCTACCAGAGTCTAACTCCACTCTCACTTAGGGTTGTCACGGTATGAAAATTTAACCTCACGGTTATTGTGACCAAAATTATCACGGTTTTCGGTATTATCGCGGTATTTTTTAAACGGTGTTGCATATGTTCAGAAAGCATTGATAGTCCTGTTCTACACAAACTGAAATAGTTTTGAAAAGGTTTAACAGTGTTTATTAAACCTAAAATAACACAAGCCTTAGCAAAAGTGCAACTTTTCACAAGTAAAGGAACAAATAGCTTCTTTTTCTCGAACATGTTACAGTAGTCAATGCAGGTTTAAATTATACAAATCCAAACATTCAAAACATAAACAATATGTAAACAAATCAAAGAAACACCACTTGTTTTCTCATATACTTGTTTTCTTCATCATAAAAATGAAAATCTAAAACTCCAGTCCACACTTGACTTGAGCACTGTACAAGTCAACCTTAAAAAATATGCATTTAAAATAAATAGCCACTTTAAACAAATTACTAAAATAACTACTACACTATGTAATCAAATCCAAATGTTCAAGTATAAATGGCATTGAATAAGTAAACAAATCAATGACAAGGAACTAACTGTATATTTCTCTTCATCATCAACAAATACGATGCTTCATCCAGCAACAGGGTGTCCGTGACACGGTTTAAATGCTGGCAGAGGACACTGCGGCTGCAGTATATAGTGACTAGTTGCATTCTCCCTCAACCAAAAGTCCTCGCGTCATGCATTTAAGCTAAAATGCTAATGTTATCTTACCTTGCACTGGCTGTAGAGACGTGGTTGATGGTCACGCAGATGTGCCATTAGATTCGAAGTGTTGCTGCCTTTTGCAGACACTTGTTTCCTGCACGTTCTGCAAACGGGATAGCAGTCTTCTATTAACTGTCCCTCAGCATTTTTCAGAAATCCAAAATATGCCCATACTTCCGAGTTAGTCTTCTTTGAGGGCTGATGGATGTCCTGGGCGCTGCCGTCTCCTCCTTCGGCCATTATTTCAGTTTCAAAGTTTTGGTGCCGTTGCAAACTAAAAAGTGCGTGTGCGCGCCGCGGGAACTTCAGCTGAAGCGACGGTGGCTGGTAAGGGTCACCGCGCTGAAACCGCGGCCACGGTAAACCCACCGAGATAATTTAGTTTTTTAAAAACTGGACGGTTATTTTTATTGTCAACTTTTTTACCGGGGTTTACCGCTATACCGGTTACCGTGACAACCCTACTCTCACTTCATGTTTGAAAAATGCAACAAATGCTGTTGCCTGGCAGACCGAGAAGGCGGAGCTGCTAACAAATGCACACACACACACAGGCTCACAACAGCATTGTGACATCATAATGTACCAGTTTACATCATAGCATATAGGGCTGTAGCGAAGCTTCGATGACGTCGACGGCTCGATTCTAAAAATTCGTCGACGTCAGATCCGGTAGTCGACGCACCGCGCCCACTTGTTGCATCCCCAGGAGTTTGTAAATAGAGGTGGAATCTGCCTGTTTTTCCTCTAGTTCGCCCTCTTCTCCGCCTTCACTAACATCTCAGCCAAATACCGAAGACCCGGAACAAAGTCCATCCGCTACTAGGTTCCTTTCCTGTTTTGCCCGCCTTCGTTTCCCGGCAACGGACAACAACTTCCGGGGTCAGATGCGCTGCTCCGTCTCTATAGCAGATGTAGAAAATCACCGGGAGCGTTTCTCCCTTCATAAAGGAGCTTCTTTCAGACATTAGGAGAGCTGTTTTGGTGGTAGCAGTCTCTCCTCCGAGCTGGTCTGTTTGCTGCTGGGTGTTTTTGGTTTATTTAAACTTGGCAACTTAACGTTGGTAAAGCTACTGTTAGCATTTTTGCTAACAGCTTCTTGCGTTTGGATAAGCTATTACGTTTTGGTTTAGAGTTCATCTTTTTACAATCCAATCCAATCCAATTTTATTTATAAAGCGCATTCTCAAGGCATTACAACCAAACAAGGCGCTGTACACTAGAAATGTTGGTTAATTAAACAAGCGATATTTAAACATGTTGAACACATATAAAAAATAATAATTTGTGATACAAATTAATAAATGTCTAAATGTAATAAAATCTCCCTTTTGTTACATTTAGAGTGTTTTGGGTTTTCGGTTTAGTTTAAAATATCACCTTGAGGTTGGTTTAACCGCCCAGTTTAGAGTTTGGAACTTTGGAGATTCTTATTTTGGTCCAAAACCCTGTAATCTTTGCACAGTGGGACATCCCTAGTTATCTGTACTTTTGTTTTAATTCCCCACAGGCAGAATTAGTTTTATTACTCCCAACCTGTGGATGGAAAGATTTGGTTTTTTGTAGTTGTAAATAAACCCGATCATCATTTTAACTTTTAAATCCCATATTATTGTCCCTTCCTTTTTGCACACGAGCCAAACTCCCCAGGAAGAGTCGTAACACCACTCGCCTCACGCACATAAGTGACCAAGACGAAGCAGCATGGAGACACTCCGTCTCCAACCACCTCTCAGGCAGCAGCCTGTACTCCCAAGTTCTACACGTCACCAGAACATAACCAACCAACACAATAAAAGCAGTGTTATACAAAATGGGAGGCCTGTAGTGTTTATTCTCTTACAGTAACAATTTATCCATTTTTTTGAGGAATTTATTAGAGATTTTTTGGTTTTTATTAACTGTGCAATAGAAAAATAATCATTAGATTAATTGTATAAATAGTCATTAGAATAGTCGACTATTCGATAAAATAATCGTCAGAATAATCGTTTTAAAAATAATCGTTTACCCCCAGCCCTAATAGCATACCTCTTAGCCAATAGCGGTGGCAGATTTAAATTAAAATACAGTGCAGAGTTTTTACCTGACAACGACACAACACTGCCAGTTTTAGGGAGAATATTGAAATTTGAACTAAGATGCACTGAAGTGCCAAATTATTGACTACACGTGTCTGCAGCACGATTAGACACTCGTTTATTTAGTTTATCAGCGAAAAAAAAGTTTAGTTGGGGGTGACTTGCTCTTTAATGTTTAACAAGTGACAGGCAACTTGTGTGACAGTCAGTTGTGTACTGCTTGGAGCTAATGTGGGGTTGCCTTCTAAATAATTAACTTACTTCATTTGTTTCAAACAGCATTCACCATGCCTGGCAAAGTGTCCAAACGCAAGGCGGATGCTGCCAAGCGCAGCACACGTCCACCTCCGCCCCTTCGTATTGGGATTCCAACGCCTAGCAGTGACGACGTTCATCGTATGTATTATTTAGTAGAACAAATTAATGTAGTGTTATACAATTCATTTAATTTATACTGTATTTATGTAAGGTGAAAAAATTATTGGACAAAAAAAGATTGAATTTTTTTTTAAAATTATTATTGTGTGTGTTTTTAAGTCTCTGGTACCGGCTGGCGCCATAGAGTTCGTCGTTGGCCAACTAGTGCAGTGTCCAACAAATCTCACAAGTTGGTCCTTCCGGGTGGGATTCCTGACAAGAAAGTGAGTGTAATGTTCACAAATATTTACAATGTAAACATAGATTTCCTTCCAATACTATGTAGCAGTACTATGGGATCCTAAGGAAACAGTCAGATGGTGTTGAAGCTGCTGTCAGTTACAGTGCTGCAAACGGATTGAATCGGCTTCTTTTAGACTTGTGCCCCAAGTCTACCAACTTTTGAATCTTAATAGAAAACCGAGTTGTAATCATCTTCCTTTTTATTCAGTGCTTCTCAATCTGTGATTTAGAACTTAAACTGCTCAGTTATTTACATGTCTTTATTTTTATTTACATGTCGTTATGTTGGTGTATTTTGTAATTGGTTTTACCATTTCATGTTTTATTGTTTGTAAACTTCGACTGTTTAATGTTATCTCTTTCTTCCTGACAAGCATATTGCATTGTCTTTTGTATGAAATGTCATTTAATACAGATTGTTTTATATGAAAATGTATTTATTTCTTTTTCTAATTTAGTTCGTCCTACTTGTTGGGGACTCCCACTTGAGGTCCGTGGCAGACGGCATAGTCCCTATGCCGGTTGGCGGCCTCGCTTTTGGAGTGATGTCCACTCCAGGAGCTTGTGCAGATCTTCTGCGCCTTGAGGTTTCACAGGCTGTGTTACCTCGGGAGCCTGATGCTGTTTGCGTCATGGCTCCTTCTAACAACCTTACGGCCAGCAGAACAGTTGAAGAGGCAGGGGATGCTTTTGAGCGGTACCTTTTGGCTATTCTCAGTCGCTGGCCTAAGGTGAGGAGCTGATTTGTGTAATTTTGGAGGTATAGAAAGTGACTGTAAACGTACATTAAAAAAAATAATTTCTTTATTTTTTTAGGTTTTCTGTACCGCCATGATTCCCCGTTTAGTTGGATCCTGGGAGCGTCAAGACCTGTTTCAGCAGGAGTACCACCGCAGATCGGCTAAGCTACGTAAGTTGCAACATAATTGGATAAAAAGGTAGTATTGACGACATGTGTTATTGCTATATACTCTTAGGCATCAAACAATCACATTTCATAACTTTACATAAATTTTTTCCTTCTGCTTCGAAGGTGTAAGTTACGTGCCGATCCACGATGACCTACCCAGGTACCGTCGCGAACTGTGGTGCCGTGATGGTGTAAGTATATTGCTTGGAAGAAAACAAGGTAAAGATTCTTAAATTTGAGGTAATAAATTTGTATTTTCTTTTGTTTGTGGTTGCAGATCCACCTCAGTGATGACCACGGGATGCCTATACTCACGCAACTGATGTGGAATGCCTCCTATCAGTTCTTGGAGACACCCGCACCAAAGCCACTGGTGCAGCACCAGGTGTCTCGTCCGCTGAAAGCGAGTATTGTGCCCCGTGTGGTTGTGAAGGGTGTGGAACGCATTCCACCTCCACGCCCTTCCGAATGGACATTTGTGAGACCTAGCGGGAAGGTGAGACACTTTATAAAGTATAAATATTGTAAAATGTTTATAATTTTAAGCAGCTGTGCCACTAATGCTTCTAAATGTGTTTTCTTTTATTTACCATTGCAGAGGAACCATTCAGGGGAATTTGAAAAGGCTTCTAATTCCCCCAAGAAACGAGTGGTTCTTTCTGAGGTTTGTGAATGTTTTTGATTGATCTTTTTCAAAGAATTTTGATTAGATGATAATATGTGGTGAATTTTCTTCAATAGACTGATGACACTTCAGTGGCCTTGAAGGAGTGTTTCATCCCCCTGAATCCCGTTAGGTTCTCACCTACAATTCTGGCTGCCATGGACACGCTAGCTCCATCGGCTCTTGGTGATGTCCCCACAGACATCCAGGTATCTTTAGACAAAGGGTTTATTATCTCTTAATGTATAGTGTAATGGTGTTCCTGATGGTTGTAATATGGGCTGTCGGTATGTCATTTTTAAAAGTATTACACTAAACTAAAAAATAATACTTTTGTGTTTGTAGACTACGTCTGTGGGACATCACAAGAAGCCTGCTGTCTTGAAGCCCAGGCCAGTAAAGCAGCGGGTAAATAATTGTTTGATTAATTAAAGACTCTTGCACACAAATACATTATGGTGTCAGTGATCATACAACTGTTGTGAATTACTTCAGTTCTTGGAGACATCCTCACCAAAGCCACTGGTGCAGCGCCAGGTGTCTCATCCAGTTACGGCAAGTAATGTGCCACGCGTTGTTGCGAAGGTTGTGGAAACCATTACACCTCCACCCCCTTCCCAATGGACACCCGTGAGACCTGATGGGATGGTAAGATACTTTGTAAAGTATAAATATTCTTAAAAGTGTATGAGTTTAGGTGACACTGCTAGTAATGCCTTTCAATGTGCATATTATTTTTTTATTTAATCATTACAGAGGAACCATTCAGGGGAGTCTGAACACGCTTCTGATTCCCCCAAGAAAGGAGTGGTTCTTGGTGAAGTTAGTGAATGTTTTTGATTACATTTTTTTAGATTATTTCCATATAGATGGTAATATCTGGTCATTCTTGTTCATTAGATTGGCACTCCAGTGGCTGTGAAGGAGTGTTCCATCCCACAGTTCTCACCTGACAATGTGGTTGCCATGGACACACTTGCTCCATCGGCTGGTTCAGATGGTCCCACAGACATACAGGTAACTTCAAAGTAAATGTTTATTATTATCTTCTAATGTTAAGTGTAATGTACTTCCTGATGTTTGTAATATGGGCTGTCTGTATGGTATATTTGAAAGTATTGTACTTAAACGTATTATTTTCTGTTTGTAGACTACGTCTGTGCGACATTTTAAGAAAGCAGCTAGGCGTGTCCAGCAGGAGGTTGATTCATTAAATTATCTGGCATACAAATACATTGTGGTGTTATTTTTGTTGACTGTTGTTGTTCTTGAATTATAGGTTGCATCCCCACCTTGCATAAATCCTCTTGCAGACGAGGAGTCTGTTCATTTTAGGAAGGAGGTAAGAAGTGTGTGTTTCAAACATAAAAACTAAACAAATCTTGATGGTGTTTAGGATGTATTGCCCTTTAATTTCTTTTATATAGGCGTTGGACTGTGACTGTTCACAGGTTTTGCTATCGTCTCTAGTTCCAGAGACAACTGTTCAAGAACCTTCAAGCAGTTCTGTTGTAAATAATTTTGATGAAGATGATACAATCTTACACAAGGATGATACAGTTTTAGACTCTATCCTAGGATCATTTCACCAGGGCGATAGGCGTTTTAAATATGGGGGAGTTCAGTGTGCAGCTATTACTGTTGTTGCTTTAACAAAGCACAAACAGAAGAGTGTTTTTTCTTGGGATTTTGCCGTGTTGGATAAGGTTGTTGAGTTAGGAGATGAGCTGTACACAGATTTGCGTGACAACAAAAAGATTAGAGGTGGGCATGAGTTTCTCTCTGTTCCAGACTTGCCAAAGGAAATTGACATAGAATAACAGCATTTTAAGCTTGTTTATGGGGATTTTGTTTCAGGAGATGTAGATGTAGTTGAAGGCGAGTTGATAGATGCTGGTGTGTACACTCCTCTCCTGGATGGATTGCAGAAGATGTGCACACAGCATAAAACTTGCATTATGACATTAAGTGGCAATACTTGCGCTATCATTTGTGATAATGGACGTTATGCTGTAGTAGATTCCCATGCACGCTCTGCAGACGGCATGGTAGACCCGACAGGACAGAGTGTAGTTCTGTACTTTGCAAACCTTGATAATGTTTTTCAACATTTTCAGAGGTTTGCTAGTAAACTAGTGGGATCTCAGAAGTCATTTGAGATCACTGGAGTGGATATTGTTCAGATGGACACATTTAAAAATGTATCTGAACAAACAAGCGCAGTTCCCACGAAGGCCAAAGGGGAGAAGCGCAAAAGGTCATCCACATCCACAGCATGCAAAAGGATGAAGATTGATGATATTAAGGATATGGACTCTGTTGTTTTTGTTAGTGATGTTGCGACAAAGGTTTTGCAGTTTGATCCCATCTCTAGTGATGTGTCAGAGGTTCTGTGTAAACGGTTGAATGTGGAGTGTGAAAAGTGTGATTATGCTTTTTGTGGTGTTGGTGAGTTGGGTGTACCATGTGTGAATGAGGAAATAGTGGGTGACGGAAACTGTTTTTTCAGGGCAGTAAGTCGAGCTGTTACTGGCACCCAGAAACATCATAGAAAAATTCGGCTCGCTGTGGTAAATCAGTTAAAAAGGAATCCTCAAACATATCAAAGTATTTTAAGAAGTGAGTATTCCTCGGTTCCACACTATCTTAACTTGTCTAGGATGCAATATGTAGGAAACTGGGCAACTGAGGTAGAAATTCAAGCTGCTGCTGATTATTTTGGCATTAACATTTTCACTTACTGTAATGATAAATGGCTTGAATACAGCTCCACCAGCAGCATATCTAATCAAGGTGTTTATTTACAAAATTGTAATGGTAACCATTATGAGACAGTCATTTGTGTTAAGCAGCCTAACATGGAAACATGTTATGGGTATTGCAAGACTGTAGATGATGATTCTGGAAAATATAACACTCGACAAGCTGCTACTGAACCTTGTTCCATAGAAGCACATGATGCCAGTGCCATTGATGATTCCAATACTTTTAGTCCTCTGTCAGCAGATGTTTGTAAAACTCTTTGTAACATGTTGAAAATAGATTATGACAAACACACTTCCCAAGACACTACATCATGTGGGACTTTAGGAAATATGTGTAAGACAGAGGATATTGTAGAAGATGGTAATAGTTTTTTCAGTGCTGTAGCTCATTCAATTAATGGGTCACAGAAAGGCCATCGTAAGGTCAGACTTTCTGTTGTTTCCAGGGTGTCCGCGGGGTTTTAAAAAGTATTAAAAAGTGATAAATAAAAATAGTCAAATTTAAGGCCATTAAAAGTGTTAAATTTGGTCTCAGAGGTATTATATTTTCCAAATTAGGTATTATTTTTTTCAGACTATCAGATGTCGTATTCTGAACATCGACATAGAAATATATTCCGAATGAAATGTTTTGAACGATTATAAAAACAAAACAAGCCGATTAATTGCACTGCCCACTTGCGCTGCTATGAGTTGCAAATGAAGCGCTCCTCCACAGTGTTGCCAACTTGGCGACTTTGACGCTATTTCTAACAGCTTCTCAGACCCCCTTCTTGACTTTTTGAATCTTAAAAGTACCTACTACCTAGCGAACACCTCAGAAACATCTCTGGTAACCCTTAGCTACTTTCTGGATAGCTGTCGTTGACGTTTCCTGCAGGTTAGCTAAACACTCCGCCTGCGCTCCGGACCGTTCTTCAGGACATTAGGAAAGGGAATGATGTAGTGATGTGTCAGTCGCTAAAGAAACAGCTCTCAGAGCCGGTTCCCTGTTGGATTAATCAGAGTAAGTGAGTGACACACACACCGCACCTGCGGACTCCTCGATAAAAACGGCTAAATGTGTGCGTGCGGCGTGCTAAACACACGTGCAGCTTGCCCCTGATTGCTGTGAGACCGGGTTGGGGGGTGGGGTGCAGCTGTGGTTGGGACAATTATTACATTAACTGATGGACTTGTAAATAGTTTATAAATAAGGTAGAAATAAGTTCCTCACGCTGATAAATAACTAATCTCTCTGAGGACACGGTGCTAGTGCACTCTCCTATAGCACCTTGACATGACTAAATAAATGTTATGCAAAATTTAGTGAACATCAATTTGCATGTATTTGTTATAAATGCCACTGTATAATTCTTGCTGTCAGTATTTGCAAGATATTGGTATTTGGGTCTGTACTGGTTAGACTTAAATGAGTTAAACCAAGGTCTATAGCCCTTGGGTCATAAACTATGAGCTATAAGCATATTGGTCTTTTTATACTGGGAATCAGGAGTTATTTTAGTGATCATCTTGTTTCTTGTTTATTTTTGCCCTGATTGTGCCCTGAGCAATTTTATGACTGAATAAAAATAAAAAAAATAAAAATCTACATAAATTGAAACATCGTCTTAAATAATCGAGATCTCAATTTCAGTCACAATAATCGTGATTATTGTTTTTGCCATAATCGAGCAGCCCTACTTTAGCATATCCGGTCACATAATGATGACGTCATATTCAGTGGTCATTCTGCATCATTTCAGGCCTCGTGGTCAACTGTCTGAACCGCTGAAACGAAGTGCCTGGCTTATTTTCTAAGTAAAATAAATATATGCAATACGTTGTCAACATCAGTGAGTCTCTAAGTCTATTCTTTTTGTATGTTATATATGTTAAAATATGTGTAAATAGGTCGGTGATTAACACTTGCAATTTAGTGTTGTGATGGTTTTAAAAAAATTCTGAAGGTAGTAAAAAAAAGTATTAAAAAGTAGTAAATTTTACTTAAGGATTGCTGTATATACCCTGTGTTTCATACATGTTAAAAAATACTGAACATTGTCAACAGTTCCTGGGAAAACATGCTTCTGTGTCACAATACATAGAACACTCACAGATGAAGTATGTAGGTCACTGTGCTACAGAAGTAGAATTTAGGGCTGCAGCTAATATGTTAGGCGTGCACATATTTATTAATAATGGCACTGAGTGGATCAAATATAGTCCTAAATCCAGTAATTTCATCATTGAGGGACTATATTTGTCAAACTGTAATAATATTTTTAAACCTATTATTTGCACTAAGCAGGGTGACAAAGAAACATGTTTGGGTTTTTGTAAAGTTGAGTCTTTGTCAGACACTGTAAACAGGTGCAGAAGGTCAACAAAAAAGCAGTTAAATGCTGACCCAAACATTAAAAGTGTCAAAATGAATACAGTTTTGTCTAAATATAAACAACAAAAAAGGTATTTTACAAAAGCCTTTCGATATAGAAATGAAAATGCATTTAATGAAAAAGTTAAAAGTCAGAACAAGAAATTATATAAGACAAGTTTTGTATGCAGGATGACAAAAATCAACTCCAGCAAATTTAAATACAAATTTGTTTCTACACATAAACAGAAAGTTAAACAGATGAGTTCATATAACTATCGTCATAAATTGTCTCACAGAGAAAACGTTAAACAGAGGAGTATTCATGAATACCACCATAATTTGCTTTATCAAGAAAGAGTTAAACAGAGGAGTAAACACAGGAGTATTCATGAATACCACCATAATTTGCCTCATCAAGAAAGAGTTAAACAGAGGAGTATTCATGAATACCACCATAATTTATCTCATCAACAAAAAGTAAGAGAGTTGAGTAGAAGGCAGTATCTTAAAGTTGAACATAAAACACGATTAATAGAAAGTGTAAAACAGAAACGAGAGCTGATTAAATTAAAGTCACAACACTTTGATTTTGTCACTGAGCAATTTTTGGAGAAGGTAGAAGATGGACCTGATTTTGTGTGTTGTGTATGCTCTCGATTGTTATTTAAACATCAGGTCTTAAATTGTCGCAAAGATTATTATAAAAAAAAACAAAGAAATGTCACTTATAGCAGATAAATGTATAAGTGAAGATTATGTGCATAGATGCACCTGTGCCTGCAAGTCACCATGTGAGTATTTCAATACATCTAGAAATTCATTGTATATCTGTTACACTTGCCATTATAAAATTAACAATTGTCAAATACCTCCACAGAGTTCAATCAACAAACTGACTGTTGATCCCATCCCACCTCAGTTGGCACGATTAAATACATTAGAGCAACATTTGATAGCTTTAAATATACCATTTATGAAAATGTTGGCTCTGCCTAAAGGTGGTCAGAATGGAATTCATGGTCCTGTAACTTGTGTACCAGCAAATATAGTTGAAAGGTGCAGTTTGTTACCATGCACCAACATGGAGGGGTCTTTATTACCTGTAAAGTTAAAACGTAAATTAACATATAAAGGCCATTATGATTATCAGTATGTTGACGCAGTGCATGTCCAGGAAGCTCTTCAGTATTTAAAACATCATAATTTACATTACAAAGATGTACAGTTCAATGAAGCGTGGATTAATG